GTAGGGAATGGCATGAAGGTTACAGTCGAGTCTATAGGAGTTATTAGACTTCAGTTAGAGTCTAGTTTTTCTTTAGATTTGGTGATACAATCTACGTACCTTCTATGAGAAGGAATTTAATTTCAGTGTCTAAGCTTGTTATGTTTGGATATTCATTTGAATTTAATAAAAGTGGTTTTAATTTATTTCATCACTCTTGTACAGTTGGCAATGCTTGTTTGGCTGATAGATTATATAAATTAAATTGTGTTCAATCTTTTGTAGCCTTTAGTATGGAGAATAATGTTGGAAAGAAACGTTTGTATTTGAATGAAAATTCATCCATACTCTGGCATAAACGGTTATGTCATATTTCTAAGGAAAAAATTGAACAATTAATAAAAGAAGAAATCCTGCCTCCACTGGATTTTGGAGATTTTGGTGTTTGTGTTGATTGTATAAAAGGAAAATTGACTAATTCTAGAAAGAAGTGTTCCAATCATAGTCAACAACTTTTAGAAATTATTCATACTGATTTATGTGATCCTTTTCCTATACCAACTATTAGTGGACATTGTTATTTTGTAACTTTTATTGATGACTTTTCACATTATTGTTATATTTTCCTAGTATCAGAAAAATCCAGTGTTCTTAAAGTCTTTAAAATCTTTAAAGCTGAGGTTGAAAATCAATTGGATAGGAGAATTAAAATTGTAAGGTCAGATCGGGGTGGAGAGTATTATGGAAGATATGACGAGTCTGATCGTCATCTAAGTCCTTTTGCTAAATTCCTTGAAGAGTATGGTTTTGTTACTCAATATACTACTCCAGGTACGCCTAGACAAAATGGGGTTGCAGAAAGGCGTAACCGTACTTTAAAGGATATGGCCAAAAGTATGATTTGTGGGTCTTCCTTGCCTAATTTTTTGTGGGGTGAAGCCCTTAAGACTGCTGGTTATATTTTGAATAGGGTTCCGAGTAAAACAGTACCCAAACCCCTTTTTGAGTTATGGACTAGTTGGAAACCTAGTTTAAGGCACTTTCACGTTTGGGGATTTAAAGTTGAAGTTAGAATATATACTCCGCAAGAAAAAAATTTAGACCCCAGAACCATTAGTTGTTATTTTATTGGGTATCCAAATAGGTCTAAAGGCTATAGATTCTACTGTCCCGGTTCAGGCACTAAGATTGTTGAGACTAATCATGCTAAATTTATAGAAGATTTTGATGTTTGTGGAAGTGCAGATTCTCACAAGTTTACTTTTGAAGAAGAGCGTACATTGGTTCCTACTACTACTCCCGTGAAGGTTGTGCAATATGATATTTCCATGGATCAGGGAAATAAAGAGACTCATGAAATTCAACCAATACTTAATCAAGAGCTTCTACAGCCTGAACAACAGGCTCAACCAACTATAGAGATTCCAGTAAGAATATCCCAAAGAACTTGAAGGCCTGCTCTACCTAAGGATTTTGTTGTTTATTTGCATGAATGTGATTTTGATATTGGAGATATAGAAGATCCAATTAGTTTCAATGAAACTATCTCAAGTCTACAATCAGACAAATGGTTAGAACCTATGAAGCTGAATTAGAGTCAATGAGCAACCATAATGTTTGGGAACTAGTGTATGCACCACAAGATTTCAAACCAATAGGTTGCAAATGGGTGTACAAAACTAAAAAAGATTCTAGTAGTAACATAAAGCGTTACGAGGCAAGATTAGTAGCAAAAGGTTTTATACAGAAGGAAGGAGTTGATTACAATAAGACTGTTTCTCCTGTGTCTTCAAAAGACTCATTTAAAATTATAATGGCACTAGTAGCGCACTATGTCCTAGAATTACACCAAATGGATGTTAAAACAGTATTTCTTATTGGGGATCTTGATAAGAAAATGTACATGATGCAACTCAAGGGTTTGAAGCTGAGGGGAAGAAGCATATGGTGTGTAAATTGAAGAAATTTATATATGGTTTGAAGCAGGCATCGAGGCAGTGGTATCTAAAATTTGATCGTGTGTTGACATCTCATGGTTTTGTTGAGAATATTGTTGATGAATGTATATACCTCAAGGTGAGTGAGAGCCAATTTATTTTTCTTATTCTCTATGTCGATGACATCTTATTAGCTAGCAATGATGTAACTTTACTTCTAGAAACTAAGACTCTTTTATCGCAAAATTTTGAGATGAAAGATCTTGGTAAGGCATCATTTGTTCTTGGCATTGAGATTCATCGGGATAGGTCATGCGGCTTATTGGGGCTATCACAAAAAACTTACATTGACCGTCTATTTAAGAGGTTTAATATGGATACTTGTTCACCTGTGGAGGTTCTTATAGGAAAGGGTGACAAACTTAATCTAGGACAATGTCCCAGAAATAATATAGAAAAAGAAGTGAAGAAAAATAAACCTTATACTTCTGTTGTTGGTAGCCTAATGTATGCTTAAGTATATACTCATCCAGATATTGCATTTGCAGTTAGTGTACTGGGGAGATTTCAAAGAAATCCTAGTTCTAAGTATTGGGTTGCTGTAAAAAAAGTTTTACGTTATTTGCAAAGAACTAAGGATTTTTTCCTTACTTACAGTAAAATGGATAATTTTGAGATAATAGAATATACAGACTCTGATTTTGCAGATTGTCTTGATGATATGAAATCAACTTTTGGTTACATATTTATGTTAGCTGGAGGTGCAATTTCATGGAAGAGTGTTAAACAATCCTAAATTGCTTCATCTACTATGCAAGCCGAGTTTGTAGCCTGTTATGAAGCCACTTCTCAGGCTATTTGGTTAAAGAACCTTATTAAATGTATTCGTGTAGTAGACTCAATTTCTAGGGCCTGCAAATGTTTTGTGATAATAGCTCTGCCGTATTTTATTCCAAAAATAATAAAAAGTCTTCAGGTGCAAGACAGATGGATATCAAGTACTTGCTTGTAAGGGAGAAAGTGAGGGAAGAACAGATATTGATTGACCACATAGAAACTAAGGCAATGATCCTAAACTTGATGGGTGTGTTTTTCTCTATTTTTAAAAAGAAAAGCTAATAAAAAATCAAAATTTGGAGACAAAACACTTCTAAAGGAGTGTCCCACTCTTATTGTAAATGTAATGTCTATTAAATCCTTAATCTAAGTATAAATATATATTTTTTAAAAATCTTGGCAAGTAACTCGCACACCAGCATGCTCCTTTGAGGACTTGAACACACTTAACCTTTGATTTTGGAAGATTGAGAAAATACTACAGGCTTGTTAAATTTAGGATGCGGAAATATAAGATGTAAAATAGAAAGATGAAAGAGAGAGATAACACAACATATACATGGTTCCTACATCCATAGATCAAGAGCCACTGAGACTACATTTATCTTATTGATTGTATTTCTTTATAAGTTTACATTGTATTGATATTAAGGAGGTAAATCAAGGAGGAAAGAAAGAAAACCTAATATAATATATATATATATAAGGAAAGAAGGGAAATAAAATGAATAAATCAGGAAGTAAATTAAGGAAGAAAGAAAGGAAATTGAATATAATATATATATATATATATATAATATATTATACATATACAAAATATATATTTCAATAAGGCCTTGGTGAATATATGTGACATCTTTGGTTTTTATTAGGTTCTTTATATTATTAAAAAACGAATTTATTGGAATTTTCTTAGCTTCGGATATTTTTCAAATGAATGAAGTTTTCCGAAACACTTTATTTTCAGCATTCTTAGACAGCCATTTTCCTTCCAAAAACTGATTTTATCGGCAAAGCTTAAGTTGCTGGGAATTGTAGTGTCACATTACCCTTTGAGTCTAGTTTTCGAATCATTTTCGTTTTCCCTGTTTCGATTAAAATCGAATTTTATACGAATTTTTGATTGGGCACTGCACATAATTTTGGTCCAACAAGGATTGCTGTTCCAATTTCTTTTTACATCATAATTTATCACGTCTTATAAATTTGGGGCGTGACAATATAAACTTAATACTTACTAATTATATTAGTAAAATTCTTAATTTTATTATTAAAATAAAATAAAATACGCAAATTAGAAAATCTTGGTGAGTAGGTAAGAAGAATTGTGTTTTGTATTTTTTTTTTTTTGGGAACTCTTCTTCCCAAATCCACCCTTAAACGGATTAGCACACAGTGACACACCATGTCCATCCTGATAGAGGCAAAGCGAGGTAGGTGCAACTTAGGACGGTAAACTTGTAATTCATGACAAATACCCTTAATGCCTGTTTTGATAAGGGAAATTCAAAGTGCATTTGTCCAAAACCCACTCATCCATACTAATAATATTATGACCGCTCATGAACTTTTGAATACTTTGAAGCCTAAGAGAAGTCATTTAGGTTTTGTTGCACATTATTCAATTCCATATTTCAATATATCACACATGTACAAAAGAAAAAGGTGCTGCAGCTATTGCAATATTGTGGATAGCTGAGTAACATGCCGCAATCAGTTGCTTATTAAAGGTTTTCCAGCAGACAAAAATTAGCAACCTTTGAATCCCACGCGTATAGAAAGAGTGAAGAGGTGAAGAGTTTCCGAAACACATTACACCTGTATGGAATATGTGTCCGGCACTTCTGGTGGAACATGCACTTAAAAAACACATTCAATAATTTAATTTTATTATTTTATTGCTTCAAACTGAATGAATGAATGCTTATATGACACACTATGTTACACAAGACATTTTTTACCCTAGAAAATAAAATAAAAATATTAAACAATATAAATTTTAACTGTTTGGAAATTTAACGCATTCGACATATGGATACATATCAGTACCCAAAACACATACCTGAGTCCAGATAACATATCATATATGACTTCTCTCGGGAGATAGATAGATAGAAGAAGAAGGTGTATTCTTTGGCAAGAAATCTAGATGAACTATCAATAAGTCATCAACTCATCATACAATTGTTCATTTCAAACCTATTTCAGAAATAAAAAACAAAACTGGAAGCAAACGAAATTGAAAGGAAAAAAAAAAAAAAAAACCCTTTACATTCTTCCCATCCTTGCCTTGGATTTTTGGCAGGAATAATTAAGTATTCTAAAACCAAATAAACATTCTGAGATTTATGTCTATCAACAAGATTCTGAAAAACCGAAAACAAATTTTTTTTTTTTTTAAAAAAGGTTCTCTACATACCTTTTCGATGCCTCCCCTATCATATAAAAATCCTTTCCATTTGGTTCATGGCAAGAATTTATCGAAGAAAGTATAAAATGTCATCTTTGGTGACAAAGTCCTAGTGCCTCTTAATGTACACAATTCTCCAAAATATGAAAAGCGCGGCTCATCTTCTGGCGCCTCAAAACTGCAACTCAATAACAAAAACTGAGACCTGAACTGCTCAGCTGGCAAGGCCATTATATACACACTGTTTTCTGTAGCCAAAGCCGATTTGTCAAGCTAAAGGTGTATCAATAGAAGCATACCGTTGATGGCTTAAATAATAGACCCACAGAATTTCATGAAAATAATGGGTTAGGTAAAGCATGTAACTCTTCCCAAGGGTAAATATATCCTTCATTTAATCTGAGAACATCTCTTCCAGCTCTGGTTGCTCAGACCAATCCTGCTCATCCTCGGTAAACTGGTCATTAATTGTTTCATCAGGTTCCTTCTTCGTATTATTTTCTGTAGCATTTTTATGGCTGATAATTGCCTCAGTTTCAGAATCCCTCCTAGCCTTGGCCTCAAAATTTTCACATATGCAGGATGAAGGGTTTTCATGAAACTCACCCCTGCCTGGCCTCATCTCATTTGGCTCTCCCATGAAGCCGATCTGATTAGTTCGAACTCTTGAGGCGAATTCCTCCCATGTCATGTTTTCTCGGCTCATGAACAACCGATAAAGTTTTTTAGCATTTGGACGGATTGTTGGTTTATGCCCAAAGTATCTCCTGCAATTTTAAAAACATGTTTAATAATCAGTGTGAGTAGTGGTGCCTCTGTCCTATACAAATAGTAAGAATAAGGAGGGTGTGTTCAGGAACAAATTCAATAAAGAATTGACTCCTAATGGATTATTTCAAGTGCCAAGAGTAATGTGTATACTTCGTTGTTTTGTCAGGTTAAAAAAAAAAAAGTGTATACTACGTGGCAACTTCAGGAACAACTTCTATTGGATCTTATACAAATAGTAAGAATAAGGAGGGTGTGTTCAGGAACAACTTCAAGAAAGAATGACTCCTAATGGATTATTTCTAGTGCCAAGAGTAATGAGTATACTACATTGTAACTTCTATTGGATCTTTTCTCAACCCAAATAACCCCTGTTACGTCTGATATCTTTGGGCAAGTCATTACGTCTTAAATCATTTGAAGGAAGGGATGAGAACAACTTTTAACTCAGAACTTGGCGAAAACTTGAATCATTTGAAACTGTAAACTCAATGTTTCAATGGAAAACTACTTTAACCTTCTAAGTCAAAGCTAATCATGATAGTGCTTCAGAGCACAAACTAGCATAAACAATTGCATACCTTCTTCCAGCTAACATTCTAGCCATGTTGCCATTATTGTTGGTGACAAAAACATCGCTCTCATCACAAACAATGAAGTCTAGTGCAGCCATACGAGAAGAAAAAGATGTAAATGGTGCCAACTCTTCCTTGCTGGCAATAGTCTCCTTCGAATGAAAATTTGGAAAAAGTGCTTTGAGTGGTGCCAATGTCTCTTCACCTCCATATACTTCACCAGACGCCACATAAATGTGAACATCATTGCCAAAACCCAATGATCTCAGCATAAGACCAACTTCCTCAGGAGTTAGTGGACATTTTCCATGCCTTCTTTCTTTGTCAGGGTTCCTTATCTGTAGACCAATCCAAATTACACATCTCAAGCATGCTTTATATCAAGTTGAGAATGCATAATATAAAATAGAATACATGGATCCTCACATGTAAAGTTTTCCACCTCTTTCGTATTGCGCCGAGTTCTCCCATTTCCTTTTCTCCCCCACCATAATAGCATCCAGAAAATGCAAGCATATCAGGTTCAAACCTATGACATGAAACATTTATACGCATCAGTAAACTGTTCTTATTGTTTGGGGGACGGGTGCTGAATTTCCTCAATGCCATAAATATGCAATGAAGCCAAGTCTCCCAAAGGGTCATAGTTCATATAAATGCACATTAAATACTGACTGAAGAACTTTAGACTTGTAAGTTTCTCAACTCAAAATTGATTGAACACCAAGAAAGTAGAAATTGCATCATCTCTACACACTACGCAGGTAGCAAGATAAAGTGGCTACTGACTTCAATCATCCAAGGATCCAAGTCAACCAACAGCAATGCATAAGCATGTTACCTACAGCAAGGTTGAGGACAGATTGCTCTTTACCTCAAATGCAGGGCAATGAAATGCTTGCTTTTCATCCTCATCCTTGTGACTAATTTTTCACCCATTGCAAGGATAGAATCAGTGAACTTCAAAGCATGGTAGTTAACCCTACACCTCAGCTTTTGTAACTCTGTGTCCAACCGATTTGCAAGCCTATAGTCAAACTTAGTAAGCTGAACAACCTACACCACAAAAATGATGATGGACTTCAAGTGTCAATTCTAAAATAAATAGAATTAGCAAGTATGCGAAGCCCAAAGCAGGAAGACTTTTTCAAAAAAAGAGGTTATATGCTAGAATATATTTCAAACAACAAATATATGACGGTCATTGTATAAAAAGCAAGAATCAAATTCAGATACTTGTTGAACATTATCCTCAAAGACTTTGTAGAATTGAACTGAATTGAGTTGTACATTTTGGACATTAAGCCTGAAACTGAAAGAGAATCCTGAACACAGGTACAGTCTGGTGCCCTCAACACATGCACACAAGCTATTTAAGACCGTCATGTTCATGTCTGTATCACCTTTTGATAACTCCATTACTAGGCTTTCCCAAATGGCACTCAATCATCCATATGATATCTATCGCAATCACTTTCAATCATCCACCAAAAATTTAAGAAGAAGTCTACTAATAGTTGCACATATGTGATTGTTTTCTTGTTTCAATGCATTAAAAGTAAATAGTTTAAGTGATCAGTTTTTAGGAAATTATATTTTTCATCTAGACCTTGTTCAAAAGGGGCCACTATCTGGTGCAGTGATAAAAGCCCAGAATGTCAAAACACAGGTATAAATCACAGGACAGTCACTTTGTGCAAATATTCCCAAAGGTTAAGTCCGTACCCAGACCACCAAAGCCAACACCTCCTATTAATAGGAACCACACTTGGTCATGAATTTTTTTTCTTTTTTCATCTCATTCTAGTTCTCACCAGCAAATTTAGGCTTTGGCAGGCTAGATGATCTAGACAGACCAAGCAAACCAGCATTCATGGATTATGCAACAAGGCAAAAATATAGGCTGAAGTTTCAGTTTAAGAATCTGCAAGAGATCTGACACTATGTTTATTTCTAGTGGTAGAACCATAACATTAAATGACTCGACACTAAACAATGTACACATCCATTGGTCTTCTAGATAAAAGATGAAGTAGCAACTACTTGAAGGAGCTGAGCACTTACATGCTTTTTTTTAAGAACAGGTAAGACGCGATTTTGATAGCATCTTGGAGTGCATTTCCTTGGAACACGCATGGTATATGGATTCGCAACCTTCCCACCCTTTGCGGGAAGCTGTTTAATGATTTCAACATCTTTTTTCAGATGCGATATAAACCAATCAACATCGAAGATTTCAGCAAAGTCACTGCGGAGAACACCACAGTATGTATAAATGCATAAACACCACATCATGTACAAATACATAAACACCACATCATGTACAAATTGATACATTATATATGCACAGAACATATATACTACTGAAGTGAAGTAGTCAGACCATGAAATTGATAAGTTAAACTGACATATAACAACCTGGCATCCTTCCAAAAAGATTTTTGGTCCAGCTTTGGAATGACAAGAGTAGCATTTAATATATGGGCTGCAACAACAGCATCTGTTATCTGTGGCCATAATACGAACAATTTGCTCAGTGTTAATAACAATATTATCTAGCTGAATACACTGAAAATTCGTAATGTACCAATCAAACAGCGCAACATTTCAGAAGCCACACATTTATTGTTAATCATAAACGACTGATCAGACCAAATATATGTCTCACAAAATTGAAACAAGTCAACACACATAAATATATAGAGACTTCAATTACTGTAATGAACTATTTCTTACTAAAATCATTATTGCAACAAAACACGCGAACTAAGCCTCATGTTATGCACTAGGGGGATAGTGACTGATAAATAGTAATAATGATAATGACTATTGTTGTTATCATTATTTAGCTTAATTTTTTTCCCTGAAGTACCAAGAGTAGGTATACCATTTCTTCTAGCCTCGACACTCAACAGTAATCACATAACATGTAGCAATTTCTGACATGTGAAAGAAGTAAAAGAATTCTCATAAATGAAAGATTCATATTTAAACCATGTGACCGACATTTATACTCAGTGTCCGCAGACAAAAGGTGGAGTTAAGAATTCTTGTTACCCTTTTTCATAGTTTTTCTTTTTTTGGTGTGTGTGTGAATTTTTTTTTTTGGGGGGGGGGGGTTTGTAATCTTAACAATTTTATCTTGAAGAGTTAAGAAGCTACAAGAGGAAACAAATTGTAACAGGATTGTCAAATGAATGAATGACCCACGAGTCCCAGGAGGGTGTATGGCAGCAAAGAAAGTGGGATTTGCCTAAATCCATATTCACAAATGGGGGAGCTTTTTAATTCTTGTTCTGGTTCATATATATGTTTTGATATTTTGCTGATGGTTAGGACTCTTGCTGGGAGGTGTGGGTTGGCTGTTTGTTGCAGTATTTGGTTCTGTTCTTTTTTTGGTTCCTGACCTCCTCGTTGACATGGTACTTGCTTCTGGTGCTGTTTTGATCTCTCTTGCTTATATAGCCTTACATATATCATAGGGTATCTCCTCTACTGTTGTGAGGAGAAGTTTTTATAAGTATACTCAGTGGAATACTTGTATAGCTGAGGTATGCCCCTTGTATTTGTACATCTTATTTTTATCTAATCTAATTTTATCTTAGCTACCCAAAAAAGGGGTTGAAAATGGAGAAAAATCTAGAATGTGGTAGCACGGGGATATTCTAAACAATCATGTGAAGCTTTAAACAATTTATGTAAACAAGCATTAAGAGGCTTAAAACAAATATTATCATGAGAAACATTTAGTAATGATTTAGTGTATCTCATTCACATTAATCCAATTTAAATAGTATTTTCTAGACTAACTAGAAAAAAAGAACTTGGGTTTTGACAATGCCACTTCATAAGTGACCACATATGACACTAAGATTAACATCAAGCGTATGTAAAGTATTAATTTGATGATCTTATATCTATTTTGCACATATCCGAACTCCTATAAGAAATCAAATAACTCAAGTTGATAAAAATGCTCATGCATATGAGCATGTACATCCATGTTTAAAAGATTTACCCCGGTTCTTTGTTGATTTAAGCCTCCACTGGTTGCAATCATCAAGTATCCCTTGGGATGCGCATTCACTTCAGCAGCTCCAACATATAACACAGTACAAATCAAATCAATACATGAAGAAATTACACAAACATGAGAATCAGTAGACTACTAGACAGAGAGGAAAAAAATCCCAAAACATGATCATAAGAAAATGTTTCTTCTAAGAGGATGTTTCTACTAGAGGATCAACAGAAAAAAGTACAAAAACCCTAGTCAAATCCTCAAGGTATACTATAGCAATAACAAAACTACGCTTTCAATAAATTATTAAAGAAAAAAAGAAAAGTCAAAGATTGCATAATCTAGCTCAAATTTCGATCCCTAGATTTCTGTTTATAAATTGCAATTTTCCCCAAGGGAGTAAAAGCACAGATAATATATATATATATATATATATATATAAATAGAGAGAGAGACTGAGGAGACAATACAATGATTCGGAAAATTATGGCTGGCATTACTGCATCCGTAATAGATATTCGATTGCCTCGAGCTCCAAAGATCACGGCCTAAACTCCCTCCATTCGTCTGAAAAATTCATAAAATCATAAGCAAAATCAGAACTGAGAAAGAGGGACAGAAAATTAACGCAAGATCCAAATTAATCAACCAAATCGTATCAATAACAAATTAAATAAATAACTAAACGAATTACAAAAATCCTTACCGGAACAAGAAAGACCATCCTTCGTTCCACATTCGATCGAACCACAGACCCATTTTTTTCCAACTAAACACACATTGAAGAGCAACTCAGGAAAAAAAAAAAAATACAACTAAGAATCTAAAAAATGAAAAATTGGAAAAGGAAATTGAGAGAACAAATACCGAGCTGTGTGGGTGGTTATGGTTGGTGATCGGAGGAGAGAGAAATGAAATGACGGCGATGAGGAAGAGAAGGGCGCCGGCGACGGCAGAGAGGAGCGGGAGGAAGTGGTGGAGGTGGCGGCGGCGGCGGAAGAGTGCGCCGTGGATGATTTGAACTCCGGCGACCGCGTTATCTCGTTTCTTCTTCTTCATTGTGGGGGAGGGTGTGAATGTAGAGAGAGAAAGAAGATATAAAGTGATGATGGTGTTGTAGAGAGAGAAAGTTTAGCTTCAGGGACATCTCCAGCGACAAAGCATCTTTCTTCGCAACAACGACAACGTCTCCATATGGAAGAAGTATTTGCTTTGCTTTTCCCCAGAAACAAACAAATCCTTCCCCTAAAAAAGCCCTCCTCGAAAGAGTCGCGCGTAAATCTTACTTGGATTGTCTTGCGTCTATTCACTCGCATGAACATTGTGTATCCATGAAACCGTATGATGTTGACACGTGGCAAATCTCATCAGGACTTTGACCTTCCAAACATAGATATATCTAGGGCTTGATGAAGTCTCACTTGCGATTTGGACAAATAAAGCAGATGGCTATGGGCCTATTGTCACGCCTAGCAACCAAGAGCTTACGCCACGCAGGTGCTATGCAAGCGCTCAGCAGACTATGACATGGCAGCATGCATAAATCGAGAGCTATCTAAACTTCTCTATATAAGTATGAAACTTCCTAGAATTCTCTAAATTAGTGTAGAGTTGTGTAGCATTTTCTAAACTTGTCTAGAGTTATCTATAATTCTCTAGACTTGTTGTGATATTCCTCGATTCTAGAGTCACGGGTGATCAAGTCCGAGCACAGATCCGATGGATATCAAACAATTAATATATAATTAAGCATAAAATACAAATCGAATTAATAAGAAATAAATGATAAAGAAGAAAAGAATTCTAATTAAAAAATTTCAAAATAATAATATTAAAATCCATTAATCCAAAACCTCCAAAGTAACTCCATTAATTTAACAATTCGGGAATCCCTCAAGTGGACCCTTAATAAAATCCCAAACTGGGAAGGAAATAACTGTAATCAAAATACAAAGCTAAATAAAGTAGTCCTACGTAATCGGAGGAATGAATGTCTGTATCTACTCTGCACGACCAAGCTCTAACTCTGGAACTGATGAGCACCTGAAAAATAAGAGAGTGGGTCAGGCCTACATGCAAGTCCTATTCTACTATGATCCATACAAAAACCCGATACGCAGATACATCCTAAATAACTCAACAATATGTAGAGTAGTTCATATATGTATAAATATACACTATATAATGCTCGCTAGTCCAATAGGTCTGTCTCAGCCTGAGTAGAGATACCATGCAAATCGCACATAATGTGGTCATGTGTACCTAGACTTACCAGGGAACAACACGTATGTCCAGTTATCCATCCTAGGCGATATACGCACCTTAACCACGGTCCTGAGACTCAAGCTCATATCATGGCACCATAGCATAAATATATAAAGTCCGTATATTCCTAATACAAAATATCATCCATCTGCTATATTGGCTTGATATATGTATAACAATCCATTTAGTAGGTCAAGCAATTATTTTATTGACATGACTCTAACATGAGTAGGACATAACCTTTATGGTTAATCCATACTTCCATCTAGAATAGGTAGGACTTAATGTTTGAACTAATTCATCCCTAGTATGCCATCGTCCCATACCGGTGCATACAATCCTCCAAATAGCATAGTTAATAAAACAACACTATATATTCATCAACCATTCTCCAAAATATGCATTAATATAAGTTAATACATATATAAAGAACTTAGGCATTTATTACAGTACCTAAAAATCATGTTCCAACTTTTTAAATGGCTAAAGTAAATTTAGGCATCTAAATACTCCAAACAGTTCATTACTTAATGCGGTTAATAACAAATTAAATCCCAATTTAATCCAACCAAAGCACAGTAAATTTCACGTAGTTCACTGTAATTTTAACTCTATTTCAATATGGTTAAAAAGTATAAAATCATATATATAAGAATCTACAAGTTCCAGTATGTAAGTTGCTTAACAACCAAAGTGCGACATGTAGGACTTTTCCCTAATTTCACACTGTCCGTTCCCTAATCCATTTATGAATTATTATTTCCCTACATGTTTACAGGTTTATAACAATCATAAACAACATTCCAAGCAGTTTAAACGAATTAGAATTACCCTGCACAGTCCAAACAACACCCTAAAACCATCTGCACGCAAAACTGGGCGAGAGCATGCTCTCACAAATTGAGAGCCTGCTCCTTTATCATGAAAGCCGGCTCCCTAACTTAGGGAGCCTGCTCTATGCAGCATGGAGCCGGCTCCATGTCCCTTGGAGCCGTGTCCATTGATAAGGGAGTTGGCTCCCTCCTTTTGGGGGCCCCCTCTCTCTCTCTCAAGCCCGTCTGTGTTTTTTTGTTGTATTCCTCACCTTTGGTAATACTTGGAGTTTTTGTACTAATTTTATTATGTGTTCTAAGGTCTATCTTAGTCCCAGATTAATCATAAAACATTGTTATACAATCATGACATGAATTGAACACAAGATTCTAAAACAACGGCAGCAGGATTTCAATTCAAAACTTTAAGTAAACTCAAACCAGATTAATTCAATGAAATTACATACTGTTAAACATACATAAAAGATGTGTTAAACCTCCGTCTCTGTAATTTCTGACCACTTCCCAGTCTGTCGTTTCACTCCTCTATTGCTCTTGGTTCAACCCAAAAGCACTCCGTCTCGTCCTCCTTAAACCTCTCCGTCTATCTCTCAAAATCCCTCTCTGCCTCTCAATATCCTCTGTTCGTGGTTTTAGTCGTAAACCCTAGACAGAACCCATATGATAGTATATATATACAGACGTCTCTAAACCCTAGTCCACTTAGAATTGGAGATTAAAAACCCTAATTAAATTCTAGTCGTCCTCCACGTGAATCCTAAAAGAAAAACTAAAACCTAATTTAAACATTAACTAAACCGTAATGTAAACCCATTCACGTATAAAAGTTACTAACCAATTACAATTAATTTAATTATAACAAAACCAACATAAAATACAACTAATTTAATCTCATTAAAACAGGTGAATTCCAAATAGAAAATAGAACTAAACAATTAAAGAAAATAACATACAATAATTAAATAATTCAAATAAATCAAATATCAAATAATAAATGCAAATAAATGATTAAACAAATAAATTAACAATTAAACAAATAAAAATGCAATAAAATAAATATTAACATGTCGAGACTATCATTTTAAAATTAGGAGTATTACATTCTTCCCCCCTAACAAAAGGAATTCCGTCCTCGGAATTCACTCTTACCTTCGTCTAACATTTCAGGAAACAACGAGCGAATGACATCCTCCTGTTCCCAAGTAGACTTAGCCTCATTGTGATGACTCCACTGAACACGCACCAAAGGGATAACCTTATTACGAAGGATTTGATCCTGACGGTCGACAATACGACACGGTGGATCCAAATGAGTTGCATCCGGCTGCAACTCAATCTCCCCAACATCGATATACTGATACCAATCCTCATCTCGCAGAAATTTTCGCAACATGGAAACATGAAACACGTTGTGTACGCGATCTAAATTATCTGGAAGTGCCAACCGATAAGCGACAATTCCAACTCGATCCGTAATCATGAATTGACTGACAAATCGCGGAGACAACTTCCCTTTCTTCCCAAAACGCATGACACCCTTCATAGGAGACACCTTGAGTAGAACCTGATCCCCAACCTGAAACTCAAATGCACGAGTACGACGATCCGCATAACTCTTTTGCCTACTTTGGGCAGTGCGCATGCGATCCCTAATAAGAGCAATCTTTTCAAAAGTATCCTTGATGAACTCAGGACCTAAAAATCTGTTCTCGCCAACCTCCATCCAACAAACAGTCAATCGACACAGTCAACTGTATAATGCCTCAAATTGTGATACCCTCGGATTCCCGAATGCGGGTTGGCCAGGCCCACGCCCAAATACCCGAGGATATCAAAATAAATTAATAATAAACGAACACAGAGTACAAAAGAATAAAGAAGAATAAATAAAATACTGACAAGAAACTAAAATGATAATCTAATAATAAACCTCAGAATATATTTCCATTAATTAATAAACTCTTCTGATACAACTGATCCTCCAAAATACAACTCGAGAATCTATACTGTGTGGACCCCTAGAAAATTCAAACTAAACAAATGACAGTAATAACTGTCTAAATCAGGAAACTGAACCATAAAGGAACTCCTATGTAACATCGGAAGAATGAAGTAGACTAATCCCCGCTCAGCACGAACAACCTCTACTCCTGACGAACACCTGAAAAATAATGGTGGGTCAGACCCACAAACAAGTTCTACTCTACTTCAGTCCAAGCAGAGATCCGATACACGTATACATCCTAGTCAATCCAACAGTAACTAGTAGTCCGTATATATATGTTTAGTTGACCTGACTTGAATATAAGTAGGACTTAACATTTTAGTTAATCCATTCCCTTATATAATAAATTAATCATTCATAAGTCATTCAACTTGTTCAGCTGACCTGACTTGAATATAAGTAGGACTTAACATTTTAGTTAATCCATTCCTTATATAAAATAGGTAGGACTTAACTAATAAGTTAATCCGTCCCTAGAATGCCACCGTTCCATACCGGTGCATTAAACCATACAATCCAACAATTGATGTAACGATTACGGAAATACATCGAACAATCTAGAAATAACTATGATACTATGATATTAAGTTATCACAAAATATGAATGACTTATTATTTATTTAAGCTTCCTATATCGTATGTCCTACACAAACTGAATCTTATACATGATGATATTTTATTATACCATCAAATAAGCATTCTCCATATCCAATTCATCCTACACATTTAATCTCAATTGCTAAAACATTTTAGAAGATTAAATCCATTCGTTTGTTTAAAACATTCAAATAGCAAACATTATTATTATTGAGTTTATTTAAATTTATTTAATCCCAAACCTAGTTCCTATTTAATGTTCATGAATCTTAGGCATGTTTCTACGTTCCATCATTCCACAAATATGAAAAATACATAATTTAAACATGTAAAAATTCACACCGGAAATCAAATCAAAATCATGCATTTATCAATTCATAACACAAGAATAGATATGAACCAAATTTATAAAACCTATGTTCTAATCCAATTAAACATGCATAATTATTTAATTTTATGTGTTTAATAAATTCTGAAATTTCCTTGGCATGTACATAAACACAAATCAAAGGGAAAGAGATAGAAGAAGAACTT